TAGGTGTCTTTTTACCAAAGAATACAACTTCCTTATTACAGGAATAATTATCAAGGAATAATTTCGACTTTTAATATAAAAAAAACCTTCAGGTATATTTTATATCAAATGGAAAATGATGAATATCTTATTCTTATGCATGCTTGGAAGGAATTTACAATCTTAGAGTGTATTAAGCATGTTGGACTGTCATATACACAGAATAAACAATCATCGCTCAATGCATGCTGGAAAACAATATGGCCAGATGCTGCTGAAAATGAGAATGATAGATTACCATTAGAGCATGAATATTCTCAGATCACCAAATTGGCCCAAACTATAGGAAGAGAAGTTTTGAGGATTTAGCTCAGGCAATTATTCAAGAAATACTGTATATGGTCACATAATGTCAGCACTTTTTTTACTCAAATGCAGGTGCAGACATTACATGGGTCGTTCAAATGTCGCGCTTTTTCTCATGAGTAATTTTGAATGCAAAATTTCATTTCAAACAGCTAAGTTAAGTTATAAGTGGAAGAAAATGGCATAAGTAATAAAAGTATCAAATTTAAAATTGTCTAATAGCTACCTAAAATTTACAAACTCACTTTCTCCCATCCACATATATAATATGAATTACCCCGTTTACGTTATCAAAACTCGGCATGTGTTAGTTTGCACAGGAGCACAGTATAGAGGCACAAATTAACCAACACTTTCAATTTTAATATTTGCTCTTACACAAATTAAATAAACGTTGGTCCTTTTAATATTTTTCACACATTATTTAAAAAAAAGATCTGTTCTGATGCAATGTATGAAAATCCATTGAATTTCATTATTCTCTGCAACCAGTCTTCACTCACCTTTAATTGTTGTAATTAAATTGTGATGTCGTGCTGCAATAAGCACTCTTATTTGGCATATTTCCTATTTTACTGCATACCCTTGAGCACACATATCGCGAACATATGCAACTACTTTTTTAAGTTCGTAAACTTAAATTTTGAACCATGAAACGCACATCTTGTTTTGTTTATTGCCACCAGTTGATCATGCTGTTTGCTCCAGTTGCATGTACACTTTTTGTCCATCTTATATACTCCTGCTGCTGCTCTTTTTCCATTTTCCTGTGCAAATTCTACAACTTTGAGTTTGAAAGCCTCTGTATAGCTGCTGTATTTTCTCATTTCACGCATGCTACATGCTAATTACCACAAATTCTAAGTGATACTATGAATGAAAAGAGAAAGCTTGAAATATGCAAATGCTCCAAGGAGGAAGGAGGGGAAAGTAATTTCAATACAAAACAGTATTTCCTAGAAGCCAGTGTGGTGAAAACATATTCAGACTACCTTCATTTATAATCGTGTCAGCCAAGTGGATTGCTGGTGCTGATGTTATGACTGAATAACAGCTGCACCAGAATGCAAGGAAATTCACTTCTTTCCATCCTTGTACCAGCCAAAGACAAAACAAATGCATATTCATATACATATATTTATTGACTAAAGGGAAAAAGACAATGTTAAAATATATATATTTTAAAGTAAGAAATTCTTTAGTTTTTGTCATACAGACATTGTGCAAGGTCACATTTTTTTACATAAGTTTTATCTGCAAAGTTGTGGTGCAGACCTTACACGAGCGAATACAGTAGTGGCCGATGAAGAACTAAATGAGGGATGAGTTAGTTAACATGATTCATGAAACAAACATGATGAAGGCAATGATTCTGATGAAGAGCAATCTGAACCAGTTGTGTTCACAGCGAGAGTCATTAGCATAGGATGTGAATTGAAAAGAAAATTAGGTAATCATTTTTTAAAATATGACGTGAATGTTGAACAAGCTCTCCAATTCCAGTGGGAGCTTAGCAAGTGCTTAAATCAATATGAGGAGGTTTACAGAGTTTTAGAGAAAAAAACCTAGGCAATTGTTATTTACAGATTTCTCTACTAAGTCTTGTCAATCTCATATCTTCCCTAATTTGTCAACCATTGAAGCAGAATATTATCAAGAATGTACAAGTGATGAAAGTGACATCATACCAATCAAGAAAAAAATACTAATACAGTCAAAAGTCTTTGATCCGGACTCGTAGGGACTTCGGCGATTCCGAATCATAGATCATCAGTTTAAATCTGATAAGATGGCATGCGGAAATAATAAAATTAAAAATTATGAAATAAAGAACAATTATGATCTAAAGGGTATCAAAATTTACAAAAAAAAAAAAAAAGTTTAATATTTATTTGTTTACTTTATTAAACATTTCTTTCAATCTAAGTTGTTTAAATTGCTTCATTTTATGTGATATACATTCTCTTTTTAATTTTATAAACAGACATAATTTCTTGTTCAGTTACAGAGTTCCGCTGTTCAAGTCCTATAATTGCTGTGTTGAGAATAGCGACTAATTTGTCAATCAAAATTTTTTCATTTTCAATAACCTCTGTGTCACTTTCTTCACTATCTGAAGCGAATTTTAATGATGAGGAATTTGATTTAAATCATATCAAAGACGGAGTACATCGAGATGAAATACTACATTTAGTAAGGCATTATAAGCCAAATAAAATAAAAACATCTGCCCTGAAGATAAGGATAGTGCTGACAGATCAACTTCCAATTCATTGCGCGTCGCGACGCCTCCTTCCCTCCCACAGAGCAGTGTGAAATTGATAAACAGATTTCGGAAGGGTTAGAGAAACAAAGGATACGCCTTTATCCATTTTTTGCAGCAATTCCACTTTTTGTTTGATGGACATCGAAACATACTTTCTCGGAAATTCTATTCTAAAAGTTCAAGCTTACTTTTATAAAATTGCTCTAACAGTCTGCAAAAAATAATAAGTCGGATCCAATTCCAAGATTAAAGAACAACGCAATCTGCAACATTAATTGAAATAAATAATTAGATAATTTTAGCTTAGCTTATATCAAATAATCTCCCAGTCTTAGAGATTCTTTGGCTTATACTGTTTGTTATACATTAAACGCGCATGCGTAAACGTATTATGCGCATGCGTGAATGCATTATGTGTTGATGCATGCGCAGAATGTTTGTAGCTTTGAGGTCCGGATTAATGATCATTCCGGATTATTGCTGAAATAAAAAAATGAAGATTTAATCTGCCTTCACCTCCAATTTCCTATTCATTATGGATCAATACTTCTATGCAACCAAAATGCGTGCTGGTCAGTTACGTCCGAGTTTGATTTTAACACAAACTTTATTTTAAGGTGTCTTACTTTTGTTTTATGTAAATAAATAATTAAATTATGCACATGTAGTGTGTTTTTCATTTTACATGGTTTTACATAGCGAAATCCAAGATTTCGATTTACACAGTTTTGTGCAGAACCTATCTTCTGTGTAAATCGAGGGATAGGTGTATATTTTTTGGAGCTCTTCTCATCGAAAGCAAACTATAAATGATCATGGTTTGGACTGCCAGCAATTTGTTTGCATTGCCAATTTACTGATAACATAGCTGTTTACAAAATGATTATTTTAGATTAAAAGAGTCTGTAAACTAATTTGAACCCCAACAGATGTTGTATTTCAAATGTAAAATCTCAAAATTCATGTAAAAGAACATTAAAATCCGATTCTGAAGGTTTCATTTGTCATTCATTTAACTGTTACTATTTTGGAATCTTCATCTGAAATAATGCCAAATAAAGTTTAAATTTTCCCATTTGTTAACAGTTATATTTAGAGGTTTCGTAAAGAAGTATAAATAAAACAGAACAAAATATATATAAATTAAAAAAAATTATTCTTAGTTTCCTTGATCAGATTGCTCTTTAAATATTACCTCATTTATGAAGTTATGGTAATGCTTAATGCATTTCTAGTAAACATTTTGTTATGAATTGTAATTAAAGGCCAAAACTAACTTTTGCACCTTTGTCTTTTCCGTCATAAGTACATATGTATTCAAAAGTTATTTTTATTGTGCAAAAGGAATAAAGTAAAAATACGTAGCATAATTCTGCTCTGCATTTTTACTCATTCTGCTTGCTTTTAAATCTTAAATTTGTAAAAATAATTTTAGGTTTCTTCACTGATTCATAAAGTTGCAAAATCAAACAAGGCTTTTTATTTATTTAAATTATACTTCTTTCAGATTCATGAAAAGAATGCTTTTATCTCAGTATCTGGCAGAAAACTATAGTTGTAAGCTGCGAGTTCATTTATCTCTCTCTGAGGGATCTCTTCATATACACAGGAAAAATTAACAATTTATCATAAAATCATATATTACAGGACATTAATCAACTTCATCAGCTTAAGCAGAATGCAGATAATAAATATTTTCTCCTGAATTCTTAAGAAATATCAACAATTGCAAAAATCACTAGCAGAGTATATTCACAATTCAGCTAAATCTTGCAGATGAATAACTAGAGCAGCAGTAACAATAAGCTTTCTTAGCTGTGTTTATATGAGACTTGAGCTTCCACAAAATTCAGGAAAGATTTATCATGTGAAAGTGTATCTTGCATTGCACTATGCTCTGAGTGTTGCCATTCTCCAATCAGCACTATCAATAATTTCGTATTAGAAACACACACACACACATATATATCAGAATATATACATATTTATTTGTTTATTTAGGATGCAGTCTGGCTCGCCAGATGATCGAAACTCGTCTTATGACACAAAGTAGCTGTGCCCATATTACACTACACACAAAGAAACAAAGAAATCATATGAACAAAAAATACAATATTAAATCAAGGTTACAAAGCTATAGAAACCAGTAAGACGTCGCATTACGAGACGGTAAAGAACTAACAAGTAAATAAAGGGGTTTGTATGACATCAAGGGAAAACAATATAATACAGACAAAAACTAATGTCAAGCAAGTTGTCAAAGTTGTACAACAGTCAAAAGTTATATACATATATAATTACAATATATACATATATAATTGAATTGTAAAATTCAATTTTACGTGTATTGTTAATACTGTGATAATTATGTGATTATTTTTCCTTCTAGCTTAAAGTTCCTGTCCCTGCCAATTTTAAAGTAAAAGCAAGAGATGTTATAGTTGATATAGCTAAAAAGGTATGTGCGAAGAATAGTTTTTCAGTATTTATGGCATTTTGGTAATGCTTCTAAATGTTGAGTAAGTGATGCTTAGAAATTATCGAGTTGGAATATTTTATCTACATCAATTGAAGTACTTTTTAATTTAGCCTTAATTCATTAATAACTATTTTAATTATGTATGTGAAATCCCAAAGAGTAATACAAATGCATTTGAAAAATAAGTGGGAGTGGAGACTTCAATATGAAAATTTTCAGCTTACTATTAAATTAATCAGAAGGGGTATTATTGTTAATTGAATAAGAATTGATACCTACTATTGCCAACTGATATAACTAAATTTTTACTTGTATATAAAATTAAAACTCAACTGTTTTATTTTTTCCTCTCCCCCTCCCAGATTTTAATATTGTTTCTGCATTTATTTTTTTTAAATTTAAAATAGTATAGTTAAGAAAATGTAAAATTATTAAGAAAAAATTAAAACATAATGGTTTAAATATGTATATTAGAGTTTGGATAGAAATATAAAAAAATTAATGCGTAATATAGATGATTGAGAGTTGTATGTTAATACAAAATTTCATTGTTACCATTAAATTAAATTTTTGATGCAGTTGAATGCTAAGAATAGAATTAGGAATTTTGTAGTCCAAATATTATTTTCTTTTAAAAATATATTTATTAAATGAATAATGTAAAAAGTGAATTGCTTTAAAACTTTATTAAGAAATACTGAAAAGTTGCTTTTGTTAAAGAGAAAAAGCACTTTTATAATATGGAAGATAAATTAGAACTGTAAAGTCTTGTATATTGTTAAGCATTTGTTTTCATATTCCCTAATCTCTGTTAAAGTAATATGAAGTTTTAAATTTAAAAGAATATTTTTAAATAATTTTTTCTTTGGAAAAGTACTAATGCCATTACCATTAGGAATATTCCTAGTTTTCTATAAGAAATTAGGGCACACACAGAAGGAGGGAAATTAACCACACTGCTAATTTTACAGAAACAAAATATGGGGCACAAGATTCATTTTATAATTTAATCCTTTTTAATTGAGACTCATAATATAAAGTATTTTTATAGTTTTCAAGTGGGACATTGAGCAAGAAAAGCAGTATGTCTAATTGATAGTAAATATTATATTTAAAAAATGATCTTAATTACTCTTAAGTGTTTTCTACTATTTATTTGCTTTTATATATATAGATTCTTATATTTATTACATAAGAACTGTGTAAAGAGAATATAAGGAATTTAAGCTTTTGATAAAACATTGCAATGTTTTAGGTGTGACAAGAAATTGAATTATTGTAATGCATGCCTTGAACATTGTGACTTCATCATATTAATATAAATAAAAAAATAGAAAATAGCAAAGTGTTTTGAGTAATGTTTCATACATATTTATTTGTTTTTCAGCATTTAAAAGTTGGGTTGAAAGGACATACTCCTATCATAGATGGGGAGTTACAAAACATTGTCAAAGTTGAAGAATGTTGCTGGGTTATGGAAGATAGTAAAACCATTGCAGTTACATTAGAAAAGGCAAGTCATATTTTATAATCTTTTTCTGAAATGAAATTTCAAAGCAGAGAAATTACCCAAGCCAGTAATTGTTTCTGCATTGTAATTTGTCCTTGTTATGTGTGTAGGTTTATTTACATAATAAAAATATTTAGCTAAAACAGAACATTAGCACCAGAGAAATGAGAATTTGTATTTTACTGTTTGTTTTGTATATTTTAATTTAGGTTAATAAAATGGAATGGTGGAGCAGACTTGTGATGATAGATCCTGAAATAAATACTAAAAAAGTAGCTCCAGAGCCATCTAAGGTAAGTTTTAAATGAATTTATGAATTTAATTTAGTTCTTGATTCGGCAACCACCTTGGCACAATTTGGCGATTGTTTAGAGATGAAAAGGTAAAAGTTATTTATCAGATGCAAGTTTGTGGTTTTCGGAACATTTTTTAAAAAAGATTCCCAAATTATCATATTTAATGCAAGTTGACAAACAATATTAACACATGAAAGAAAGTATGTTTTAGCAATTTAAAATGCAGATTTTACTTATTAAATAAGTATTACCTAATACATTAAAAAAAATCTGATGTGTGCACCACATGACTTCCTTGTACGGAATATTAAATTATATACATTTTTTTCTTTCATTTTATTTAAACTTACTTGTTTGATTTAAATCCACTTCGTCGATAGCGCATAAACCACAATAGAATAAATCACTCTTTAAAATTCACTATATTTTTTTACCATAGCGACACTCTGGCACTATGTTCACTTAACAGCATTATATTTCATTCATATTATAACTCAGAATGCACAAAATTTATATCGTTTGAAGAATTATCTAATTGTGTGAAGAATTATCTAATTGAATTATCTTATCCACATGTTCTATTCAAATACTATAATAGTAAATCTAGAACAATGTATAAAAAATGTATAAATTAAGCAAGCGAAAAAGAATCAGTTTTTCACAGACAATTCAGCATTTCTCATTCAATTAATTCAGTTCTCACTTCATGACAAGGCAAAAAAAATCTCTCAAAATATCTATATTAAAAATTATGAAGTAAATTTTAAACACTTATTTCTTCTAAAAAATTCCGGAAAGGATTAAGTATGATTTAATTCGCAATAATAAATGAAGGCATTATCTTTGTTGTTGCGAAGCTTAGTCTCTCTAGATTGGCAACAATTCTACTATTCTGCTGTTTCAAATGTTATTAAATGTTATTTAAAAATTAGGCTTAACTGCACATAAACAGCTTGTAAGCTGTTGATAATTCTACAAATATTGCTTGCAGATTTTCTAAAAGCATAGAAACCTTAACCGGAAGATAAGAACAACATAATTCAATCATTTTTAAAGCAAAAAATGCACAATTTACAAACTTATAAACTTAAAGAAACTGAGCTGAGCCGAGTAACAGAGTGGATATATATATAGATATATTTATATATGTTTGGTGTGGCTGATTGCAACCAAAATATGAGGTGCACATCTACATGTTATAGCAGTCCTATATACAAAATTTCAACGTTCTGAGGCTAGTCGTTTTTGAGTTATGCGAGATACGTACGTGCATACAGACACCATGAAAAGTTCTCTTTAGAATTCATTTTAAAACAGTTTTATAATTTTTGAGGAAAAGAGTTTTTTATTCTGTCCTTACATACAGATGTCGCTCAAAAACATTGTTAAATTGCATTCGATAGTGTTCAAAACGTATATTTTCGTTGAATATGCTGCCTGAAACTTTTCGCGATTACAATACTTCCTTTTTACTTTGTACGAGGAAGTAACAAAACACGTTCTTCACCAAATCATTCTGTAATTTTTTTTTTTTTTTTTGCATTTTCTCCTCAGCAAGTACACAGCAGTCTGTTTTCACTTGGAAAAACATCAAAGAATTCAAGAAACTTGACAACAGTGGTTATCTACCAACATATCTTTTTGTTATTCCCTTAGGAATTTTGCAGCAAAAGACTGTATTCCTTCAGAAATTTTACTGCAGTTTTTTCTGTTGTCGGCAAATTCCGCAAGCCCATATTTTAAAATTAAGGCAAAAAATATCCCAATTTATTTATAAAAACTATTGAAACAAGGAATACATTCAAAAGAGTGCATGCAAAAATGGCAACACTGCTTGATTGAACGATTGTTATAAACATATTTTACAGAATTTGGCCCAGTGGCGTAGCGAGGGGGGGCAAGGGGGTGAATGATGCCCCGAGCGGCGCCAAATAGTCTCCAAACAAGATTTTCATCATATTACTGTGTTTTTTTTTGGGAGAGGGGGGCGCCAGTTATGCTCGCTACGCCACTGGTTTGGCCCATTCTGAAAATTGGTTGCTTTAAGGTGGTTGTGATAACGTGTAAGTACTCTTGATTCAGTGCTTTAAATTGTAATGTTATATACCAATATTCATACATCCATTGTTTTGGCTTGTAATAAATAAAGGAGGGGAATATTATAGAAGGTGTTAAAACATTTTAAAAATGATTTCAGTAAAAGATTACAAAAATGTAAATGTTATGGAATAAAAATTTCTGGCAACAGTTTATAATTTGAAGTGAAATGTTATCTGCAGCTTCGAAATTCATTTAAAACATTTCACTTAAACAAGCTATAGATCAAAGGATGTTTTTGCCCTTTCCAAGCAGAAATATTCTGCAATTAAAAAATATGCTGAAAACATTTTATTGAAAGCAGAATAAATAATAATATTAATCTGAAAGGGAAAAATTATCATTTATTATTTCTATCTGCAAAGAAGGCTTCATTTAAATCCCAAAAAAGGAATGTGTGCCTAAGTAGAAATCATTTGCATGGTTTTTAGATATATATGCAGTAGCAACATACAAATAATAATTGACAGCAAAAGAAAAAGTTAAACAGATTTTCTGTGTCTTTTGCTGATGCACATGATTGAATGTGGAAAACACTGCAGAAGTCTTTATGAAATATTTTTTTATTATTAAAATATGTTTTTAAAGGGATTCTGACTAAAGAAAAGCTGGGTGAAGAATGTCATTGTATATATGTATATAACAGGTGGCCATAATTAAACTGACAGTGCTCACAGTGTTCTGTAGCACGACTTATTTGCGAGAATGACGCCACATTTTGTAGGAAGATTAAACAAGATGGGGACAAAGGATTCCGCGAAAAAAAATTAATTCCAAAAGTCACCGCTAGGAGAAGATTTGGCGCTGTTTAATAGAAAATAGAGTGTTAACAAATGCAAATCAATACGGAAATTAGCTTTTATTTTGCATTCAAATGAGGTTCAATGTGGCTGCCGTTGTTGTGAACCACATATTGCATTCTGTGCACAGTATGCACAACAGCAGAAAGTAACATGTCTGCAGGAATCTCCCGTACAGTCCGTGATATGTTATCCTTCAATGTAGCCAGGTCCTGGACCACTTCTTGATAGACCTTAGATTTAAGGTAACACCATAGCCAGAAGTTGCATGGGGTAAGATCAGGCGACCGAGGTGGCCATGCAGTGAGAAAGTAGCGGCTAATGACTCTTTCTGTTGTGAATTTCTGTCGTAGCATGTTGCACCCGTACAGCAACGTCTGGAGGGGCTCCATCTTGCATGAAAATGATTTCACCCAGGCATTGTCTTTGCTGAAGTGCCGGAATGACGGAGCTGTTCAACATGTGGCGATATTTCTCTCCGGTAACAGAACAGGTTTCTGGTCCTGTTGGGGTAATGTTCTTATAGAAGAATGGACCTACGATAAATTCCGCTGTGAACCTACACCAAACAGTTACCTTTGGTGAATGTAAGCAAATTGCTGTGGCTGCATGTGGTGATTTGTCATCCCAAATTTGGCAGTTCTGGGTATTCACAGTTCCATTCAGGTAAAAGTGGGCCTTGTCTCCCCATAAGATCATCCATCACGGCTAAGCATCATCCACCTCCATTCTGGCAAGAAAGGTGAGAGCAAAAGTCAATCGCTTATCATGGTCGGGGTACAGTAACTCCTGTACACAGCTGATCTTGTACAGGTAGAAGGTGATAATCTTTTGTAAGATTTTCCATACCGCACTGTAAGGCATACCCATAATAAAAGGTAATTTTATTCCGTATTAATTTGCATTTGTCAACACTCTATTTTCTATTACACAGCGCCAAATATTCCCCTAGCGGTGACTTTTGGAACTAATTTTTTTTTTTCGCGGAATCCTTCGTCCCCTGTCTTGTTTAATCTTCCTTGCCGTAGCCCCTTAACCCTTTTTTAATTTTATTATTTTTCTTCTCTCTTCTAAAAATAGTATATCATTTCAAAATTAATCACTGATTTATGATTCTTACATCATGATGCAGGCATTTTCATATGACTTTACCCAATAAAATTCAAATTTGGGAACCAAAACTTAAATTTGGCCAATGGGGACAAATCTAAACTGAAACTAAATCATTCTGCTCTAAACATTCTTTCTCTTGATAAATGTCTGCTACTCCATCTGTCATCATATATATTTTAAAACCTAAAATGTGCTAATGTAGTCCTTCAAAGACAAGGCAAGTGCCAGTTTACCTGTGTTGGCATGAAGCATGTTTAACAAAAATAAAGAAATATTTTATTAACCATAATTGCAAATATCTGTCTTCCCTTCTAAATTATTACATATGTGTAATAAGATGACTTGGAGAAAGCTGCACTGGATTAGCGATGATTCTCTGTGTTGCAACTTCGAGAGGCTATACTGCATAGTTAGAAAGATGATACTGAGACAGATTCTACACATAATATTATTTCCAGATAATAAATTCTGAAGACGCATATTCTTTTTCATTTCATATCATCGTGGATGCACTATGCACCCCACAATTTTATAGATTATATTAAGAACAGAAAACAATAGCTGGCAGAGACTAAATGAGCAAAGTAGCATATTAGTGCCAACAGAGGTAGAAGCAAAAGTTTGCAATTAATCTAGTATGGAGGTTCACCAAGAGAAGATTTTGGTTTAGGTTGCTTATTAAGAGAAAGGTTTCAGTTCTTGAAATTTTGAGTTCAGTTTCTGAATTAGTTACATTATCAGTATAATGCAAGCCATGCGTCATAGACTGATCTAGAAATGATGCAGTCCAGAAAATTTATTACTATTTTTAGAATAGAAAGTGGGAATTAAGGACTGTTGCTAGCTTAAATTTAATTTTGATATTCACATATTTTCTATCTTGCATATCTTACATATATGTACAAATATGTATTTATTAAACAAATTTTTAAAAAGTCATATCATTTATCAATATTGTAGTTGTTCCTAAGGGTTAAAATTAAACAGATTTATTTACATTGTTACTTTACATTTTGAGGTCTAGCATACAAAATTAGATTACATTGACTAAATTTAAATTAATATTGGTCACATTGTAATATTAACACATTGACTGCTGCACACATTTTACGTGGTTTACCCATGGTGGCAACATGAATTTTTTATTATGTGTTGTATATTATGTTGAAATATTGTCTACTGAAGATAAGATGAATTATATAATTGTGTTTAATGTATTTTTTGTGCGAGTATGACCGGTGACCCCCAAGGCATTGTAGATCATTTTTGCGATTTATTATTTAAGTTTTTGCGATTTACATTACAGATTTATTTACATTAATTGTTACTTACATTTTGAGGTCTAGCATACAAAATTAGATTACATTGACTAAATTTAAATTAATATTGGTCACATTGTAATATTAGCACATTGACTGCTGCACACATTTTACGTGGTTTACCCATGGTGGCAACATGAATTTTTTATTATGTGTTGTATATTATGTTGAAATATTGTCTACTGAAGATAAGATGAATTATATAATTGTGTTTAATGTATTTTTTGTGCGAGTATGAACGGTGACCCCTAAGGCATTGTAGACCATTTTTGCGATTTATTATTTAAGTTTTTGCGATTTATATTCTTCAAACCATTATAGTAACAGTGGTATTATTTAAAAATTTATTAGTCTCAATATTTACTCTAATTATGTGTTTTTACTGTTGGTCGCATTGCTGGTCACTGGTGGCCTCCACAACACTGTAGCCAAGTTGAATGCTGGTGACTTCCATGGTAGTCAACATGTTAATATTACTGCATTTTCTAATTATTACTACTATTTTGTAATACTCTAGGTTTGTAATTTTTATTACAAAGATATTAAAATATTAATTCTATCTTGCATATGCTGAATTTTGTTGTTTACTTCTCAATTAGTATTTTTTCGGCGTGTTATTGTGTCTTAATGTTGAAACATGTTTAATCCTCTGAGCGTTATGAGCGGCTTTATCCGGTCATCAGAAGTTTTGCTACTTAGCATATATTAGCTTATAATTTAAGATATTTTGCTTTCTTTCTTTCTTTAATAATGTAAATATCATCTTAATGAATTGTACGTTTATGAAAATACAGACTAAAATAAATAATTTAGAAAATTAATAAATGCTGTTTAAATACGGTCTTCATGACGGATCTAAAATCCTGTGCTGCTCAGAGGGTTAATATGAAGTACTGGTAATTCTTTATAAAAATGCTAAATTTGAAATTAATTTTTAATAAGTAAATTTAAATAAGTAATTAGTAAATGTGTAAGTTTATATATTAATTGAATTATATGTATGTACTTGTGCATATAGACACATATGTCTATGTATATGGTATTTCTTATTTATAAAAAATTTAGGTACTTACGGTACCTTCGACCATTTTTGCCTATTAAAGAAAAGACGCCAAACTACGTGATTTTTTCAAACGTGCTGGGTTTAGTGTAACCTTTGATTACACGTGTTAGTTATTATTCTTGAGTAACATCTTTTTCCCCTCTGTCATGCATTTTCGAAAAAAAAAAAAAAAGGATTAAAATTTGAGACCTGCCTACTACAGAAGAGCATGCTGTTGAATAATGAAAAAAAAGTATTTCGCGAGACTTATATTTTCTAGCAAAAATTAAAATGTAGCAAAAATAATTGCTTTTATAGTATATCTTCTTAATAAAAAATAATGGAAACTTTTTATGAAAAATTAAATATAAATAAATGATAGTATAATAAATTTGAAAGAAAAATAAGAATAGAATATTTTTTTTCTTGTATTTAGTAAGTGGGTTTTTTGGTTTGGCGCAATTGGCGGCGTCTCTTTTGGTCGACGTGATTTTCTGTAATTGCTAAAATTTACTATTGTTACAATTGTATATAAATACAATTTTTTTTTTCAAAACAATTGTAGAGAAAATGTCTTTTGATAGATTGATCACAGACTGCTGGTTTCAATTTAAGAAATGTACTATATAAAGAAAAACTTTACACTTTGAAGTTAAATATATTTCTGTTATATATTTAATATTATCCTGATGATTTAGTATTTCAAAAGATTACGTTTTTTAATTATTACATGAACGCATGTTTTTATTGAGAGCGTCTTGAACTATATATGTTTTTTTTATTGAGAGATATTCAGTTTTAAATGCAATTTTATTCATTATTTGTTTTGTTACAGCTGTCAGATTTAGATTCAGAAACTAGAGGTATGGTTGAAAAAATGATGTATGATCAAAGACAAAAAGAACTTGGTTTACCCACCTCAGAAGAGCAAAAGAAGCAAGACGTTTTAAAGAAGTATGTTTTTTCATGTTTGATATATTTCAGAATTTTTGATAAAGATAAGAAACTACATACTGTATCATAAGTGTATGTGCGTTTATGTAAAAGTTGAAGTGTTAAGTGTTCACTGTAATCTAATATATCTGAAGCAAGAAAAGCTTTTATAAACGAAAATTTGAGAATAAGAGTTTTTGATGTTATTTTGATTTTAACATATTTTTCCCCCTGTTGTATAAAATGCTTAATTTGCAAGATTGCAGCAGTCTATGGTAGCTGTGAAGATCATGGAGACAGATTTAGGAATGAGTATAGAAAGGCTTAACATGGGGCTGATAAATGACGACTTTTGGAAATTAATAGTAGTATATAGGATATCTTGAATACATGTGTTAAACTTCAAGTTGTGTTACTGTGAAAGACTAAGGAGAGAAAAAGAGAGATTAAAGAGGCTAAGGAAATGACTCCTCATATTGCAGACATATATTCATTAGTTGCTGGAACTATTTTATAGGCATGGTAAATTAATTGCAGAAGACATTTTTTTGATGCAGTTTGCATTCCTCAGGCTTCACAACTATTGCAAATGGTATCTCCAGTATATAATTGTGAGTAGATATAAAGAATATATTCCAGTGCTTGCCACTCTTGACAGTGTTGAGTGTTATAAATAAGTCATATAAAAATATGCATGCCCTTTGAATGTCTCGACAGCAATGCATTCAGTTAACATTTTAACTGCCATACCTGTCACTTGTCTCTTGAGATCAGCCACTAACACCCCTTAAAATGCATATTTTTAAAGAAAAATCTGTGCATAGTTATTTAAAAAAATTAATTCAATATAATTAAAAATGTGGATATTTTTTGATTACATGTGGATTTTGTGGGGAAGTTTAGCAGGTGTCCGAGTAGCATATAAACATGTATATTTTAGATTAGACTTGTGATTCCTAGAAGCTAAACTTAAATTGCAAAATTACTGGACGTTTCACTTAAATCTTTCAAAGATGAAATCCAGAAATTGAGTCAATATCTGAATGTACCCATAAACTGATGGTAAATGTAACAGCCAAGTTTCCAAAATATACGTAAATAGATCATGGAAACACAATATTAATTTCATGGGAAATAACTGAGGAGAATGTTAAGAAAGTTGGGATTTTCAGTTTTGTGTATATTTCTGATTGATATGATCTTTCAAGATGCTGAAAACAATACTATCTGTGAACCTGAGACAGAGCAATATATAAAACTCAAAGAATATTGAGCATTTGTTAAATATATTGATTTAATTTAGTGAATGGCAGAGTTAACATATCCCATTAAATGATTTCTTTTCAATTCTTACAGTAGTCAATAGTTTATTTATTTTTTGTTTACTCAGATCAAGAAAAAATGGACTACTTATACATTAGTTTGTGAGAAAAATTTCTGTCCAAAACATGTGTATTAAATTCAAAATATTAAACCTAATTTATAGCATTAATTACATAAATTTATCTAACGTGCATGATTGAATTACAGTTAAGTTATGAATTTAATCATACAAATGATAATTGAACAGCTTTTATATGTAATTATTTAACTATTTCATACTAAAAATAAAGGAAGCTGCCGTACTTGCCGACATATAAGTCACACCCCCTTTTTTATACACATGTTTAAAGGATAAAACTTTATTACTGATCATTATATAATGAATTTACCGTATTTTTAATATAAAATAATACAAATACAAAGTAATTATTGAAAATACCCAATTTATCTGGGAAAGAACACCTTTTAATCTTCAAAATCCAGACAGTCATCTCCAGAGCTGAATGAAACCTCTTCTAAATCAGCATCTGAGTCCTCATGCAACAAATTGTCCTCTGTACCATCCAATGCATTACTAATGCCACTCTTCTTAAAGTGATTTAACCACTGTCTCTGTTTTCAGAGCATCCCATGAAGCTTTGATCCATTCACAAACTTGCAAAATGCTAGGCCTATTCCTTCTTCCTGGTTGTGTAACTTCAAAATTTGAAGATCGCATCCAGCTGTTTCACTTTCTCTTTCATAAATCCTTTAAAAGGTTTATTAATGCAGACATCTAAATATTGAAGCTGACCAGTTAGGCCTTCTGGAATTACAGCTGACTGAGTTTTCAAGATTTCTATAGTTTATTTTTAACATCTTCTGTTCTGTGAGAACGAAACTGATCTCATACCAGTAGGGCAGGTTTCTTCAACAGTCCCAAGGATGCCTCGACCAAATTGTATCTAGCCATAATTTCATTTCTTCTCCATCCATCCAGCCTTTTGCGTGAACATATATAAACACTCTGTTATGCAATTTTTCTTTGGGTAGTGTCTTCCTTTTAAAAATCAGGTGATAATTTTAGAGGAATCTCGTCCATGTTTCCTATTTGTGCAAGTTCAAATTTTCTCATTTTTGTGCATTAATGATGAATTTATGAAATTCAAGAATTTTTTGTTCAAATTCTTCTGTCATCTTTTGCAATATTTTTGTTTTAGTCCGCATACATAGCTAGTTTCTCTTCATGAATCTTGAACACCATGATGTTGATCCAGTAAAATCGGCAATCTCTCTATCAGTCGCTATCACTTTCGCTTGATGAATAATCATTATTGTAGAGACTGAAAGTCCCGCTTTTCTGTGGTCTAAAGTCCAAGTATTCAGCTCTGCCTCAAGCTCAGGCCACTGTGCAGTCCCCTTCATATGTTATGTTTACTGCGAGTTCTATTTTTAGATACGTTTCCTGATTCCGCGAAGTTCTTATCATTTTCTCAGTTAGGGGTGGATCGAAATGCCTCTCTGCAGCCCTGTTTCCATGTTCATTAGCATATGCAATCACGCTTAGCTTGTATGCTATGTTATAGCAATGCCAACATTGTTTTTGAGCCATAACTTGCCAACAAATTTTAAAAAATTGAACAATAAAAATTTCACACACGTTAAAGTCGTTTGCAAAAATTGGAAAATTTAAATGAAACCCAGCTGTGAATGTCGATGACAGCGCATGCTCATTCACAGAACTCTACGTAGTGAACTCTACTACTAAGTAACTGTAATGTTTCCACACTTCGCAAGGAAACAAGAAAAAAAATCGCATAAATCTGAACAGAAGAATTTCCAGAAATGAATGGGATCAAAAACTGAGTATTAGTGTATAAGACATACCCCATTTTGATGTTGAAAATGAATGTATTGTCATAAGAGTAACAAACACAGAATATCATAATACAACAATATCACTTGCTATTATATCATATTATTTCAATAAACTTTTCTTCGTAATGAGTAGTTTCTATCATTTGTATTTATTTATTTTCAATTTCCATCAGGTTTATGGAAGCACATCCTGAAATGGACTTCTCAAAATGCAAGTTCTCCTGATCAAGGTATAAGTGCTTCCGTGCTTATCATACTTGTCATTCAGTTCTGTACAGTCACATTCCTGGAAAGTCAGTATGAAATACAAAAATTGCATCATTTCAATATCTGCTAGCTTGTACAATTCACTAGACAGCATGCAAGGCTGCAATAGTCATTATATAAGCATGCACATTGTCTTTTCATATAAATAAATTCAGATGTACTAAGTTTTTTTGTTTTATAATTACTGTTGAACACTTTCGGAAGAAAACCATCCAGTTATAATAATTTTGTGCATAAAAAAGCAATAAAGAGCAAAAATTTAAATTTTATCTCTTGAGGTAAATATTGTAAAACATGATAGTTGGAAAGATGATTCCCAATGTAAAACGTTTTTATTATTTTAAATCAAAACATAGAATGCATTGAAGAGGAAATAAAAGCATATCTTCTTACCTTGCATATCGAATGACTTTTATATTTGCATCCTTGCTAACTAATCCACAAATACCTCCAGTTGTTAGGAGCTAGTACTTATTAAACACATACACATAAAGAAGATTAGTTCCTTACTGCTTTCAAAACATATTTATTAAGAAAATTGAACATTTACTTCATTTTGAAATACTGTCATTTTACAGTAATGTGAAGGATTACTAGTCTTGCAGATCTTTTGGTGAAATAGACCTAAGATTAAACATTTAATGCTCTGGCTGGTACAGTCTGTTACTTTAAAATAGGCATTTCAAGACCATTGCCAGCGTGCTATTGTGATTATAGTTCATGTCATCAGTAGCCCAAACATTTATTTTCTGCACATTGTTTAAGACTGTAGTTCAAGTCGGCCTTTATTGCACACTTTTTATGAAGTGAAACATGCTAAACAGAAATGAAGTGAGGAAAAAGAATTAAGCGAATTGACCTTTTGTCTCGCAGCTGTTTCCGTGGCTGTGTGAGACAAATCGAGCAGTGGAAAATAACTTCGAAATTCCTATTTTAAAATAACAGACTGTTGTGTATTATGTCCAGCACTATGCACTAACAGTTTCATTTTTTTCTGCTCCAGATGCATCTGTTTATAATTTTCAAGTCAATCAACATAAATGTAATGTACATTATTAATTATTACAGCTAGGAAAATTTTTCTGTAATAAATGTGTTAGTGTATCTGTTGCCTCATGGTTTTAGGCAATTAGAGTTATTAATACTATCCTTTCCTTTGGTTTTAATATTCTGAATTTAATTACGATGAAACTTATTTTAAACTCTAATTATTCAAAATCAAACCTAAAATGTTATTTTGAACATATTTCTCTTTTTTTCAATGGCGTATATCTAATGATCGCTAATTAGTTTAAAAACTGTTATACAATGGTTACTGTACGATACTTCATCCAAATAAGCTGAAACAAGTGTATTTCTCATACTTATTTTACAGATTAATGGCACTTAAATCATTACTTGCAAAACTGCTTTCTGAAACAGTTACTATTCTAAGTATACCAAAGGAATACTAGAAGTTTAAGTAAGTTTAACCCGTTCACGACAGGCACCTCTGTTACCGAAGCATTCTCTTGGGACGGTGCGTTAACCGGATGCGCCGTCTTGTGGAGACTGGCAATTTGCGCTGCTAAGCCTAACTTTGGAAAAAATTCGTATAAATTAAATTTGTCATCCAATTGTTCCAATTTTTGGTACATTGTGAGAACATTCAGGTAGTTGTCAGAATTAATTTTAAACCTTTATTGTTATATTTTCCTTAAAAACTTTATAAAATATTCATTAGAATATAATTTTTTATCCCCACAATTAAATATGTATGGAAAAAATCCAAAACAATCGCAGATTTTTTAACACAACAAATTAATTAAAATTAAAACAAATATTAACCCCTTAACTGCCGCGGGCGTTATATACGCCTTGCTCAGCCAATGCGGTTTAACTGCTCCAGCGTATATATACGTCCTTCCAAAACTGCTATCATTTGCTTTGCGCTGCTACACCTAAAATTTGCAAAGTTAACGCATCGGCTGCGCATCTGGGGCAGTTAACGCATCGACTGAGCAAGGCGTATATATACGCCCACAGCAGTTAAGGGGTTAAAACTGTCTTTCATAAAAATTCAATGTGCAAACAACGAAAAGGAAGCAATATTTCAAAAAAGAGACTGTATGATATTCTTTGAAACATGGGTGTATGCAAATTCCAACGTTGCAAATGTCACAGGAATAGAATATCAGCAAATTTGACTCATTTAGCATTCGTGTATCATCTACGGTCAGATAGCGCTTTCGTTTTGCCATTAAAAAAATAGAACACCAGCAATAGAAAATTAAAAAAAAAAAAAAACTTTCGCTAAGACATACAAAATATTCATCTCAATGCCGGAAAAATCTAAGAGTAATAAAGTCTCTGATGATAGAACATCTACTCTACTATGCGTGGATAAAAAAAATAAAATAAATACATTAAATTAAAAAGTAATCCAGAGCATTGAGAACATGTTCATTTGTTTATATGAAATGACTTGTGTATATTCTTCTATGTTCAGATACCTATATCGCAAAAATAAAAAGTACCTCAAAGCAATGAGATCACATGCATTTGTTTAATATCAAATGAAAGGGACATTACATTGCTCAACACTCGCCCACGAATCTCCTTCTCATTCCGAAACAAAATACCAAAAATAAAAAAATTGCATAGGCATGAAGGTACACATAACTTTCGATATATTTTTCCATAACAGACATACAGCTACATCTAGCGGCAACAAAAAATACTAATTAAATGTTCTAACTAAAAAGTCAAATGTGATATGCCCGGCCATAGAGTGAATTAAATGGCAATTCAAATATGACACACCCGGCCGTGAGGTAGTATTCTCTGCTGATGCAAATATGACACGCCTGTACTGAACGGCTTAAAGTCTAAAATAATGAATAATAAAATAGAGATGGGGAAAATGACAGCTTTGTCAAAGCAACTTAAACAACTTACATTGAAAATGTTATTAGAACATGGTTTTATTGTATTTTTAGTAAGTACACACTTTCTTAAAGATACTATTTCATATTTATTTTTTCTCCATCGTATCAAATTCTAAGAGAAGGAAATTAAACGAACAAAACAAAATGTTTAATGTAGAGTTGGATAATTTCTTTTGTGAAATATAAAATGGTTTGTTTATTGTGCAGTGCAATTTTTACTACTTTGAAAAAATTAAATGCAAATAAACACCATTTGACTCATAAAAGAACATAAATATTTGAATTTGGAAGGTGAATTTTGACAAGCTGCAGTTCAAATTGAAAAATGAAAAGCATCATCAACAGGCTTAATGCTTTTGTAAAGAGAAATACCACTGCAGCTGCTCTTACTTACAAAATTACACATATGCCTGGAAAAAGAGGCAGACCATTTAATGACGTAGAAATAATTAAAGAATGTATTGTTGAAGCAGTAGGTATATTAGATCCAGAAAAAGTCGATAAATACAAACAGTTGCCTCTTTCAAGAACTACTACAGTACAAATTGTTTGATCCGGACGTCCATAAGCCGGAATTATCTATAATCCAGACCTCAACGCTGCAAACTTTCTGTGCATGCGTAGCGTTTAGGCATGCACATATGCATTTACGCATGCGCATAATACCTTTACGAATGCGTGTTTAATATATAACGGACGGTATAAGCTATGCTAAAATTATTTAATTATCTATTTCAGTTAATGTTGTAGATTGCGTTGTTCCTTAATCTTCTAATTGGATCCGGCTTATTAATTTTTGCAGACTGTTAGAGCAATTTTATAAAAAGTAAGCTTGAACTTTCGATTATGTCAAAAAGAGTTTCCAATTCTGGAGCTGCCAAAGGATCTACAAAGCGAAAGCATGTTTCGATGTCCATTAAACAAAAAGTGGAATTGCTGCAAAAATTGGATAAAGGCATGAAGAAAGTGACAGAGAGGTTAGTGAAAACGGAAAAATTTCGATTGACAAGTTAGTCGGTATTCTCGTTGACAAGTTAGTTGGTATTCTCAGCGCAGCAATTTACAGGACTTGAACAGCGGAACTTTGTAACTGAACAAGAAATTATGTCTGTTTATAAAATTAAAGAGAAAGTATTAGCACATAAAACAAAGCAACTTAAACAACTTACATTGAAAATGTTTATTAAAGTAAACAAATATTAAGCTTTTTTTTGTAAATTTTGATACCCTTTAGATCATATAATTGCTATCATAAATTATGGTTTCATATTTTTAATTTCTGCATGCCATTTTACCAGATTTAAATTAATTTATAATCCGGAATCGCCGAAGTCTCGACGAATCCGGATTAAAGTCTTTGTATTGTATAACTTAAGAAGATCGGCAGCAGGAATTAGCTGAAAATTAAACAGAGCAACTTAAAATGTAAAAATTATACAAAATGAAGATGTTTATTTTTCAGTTGCTTTATTTAGATGAAAGCATTGATAAAACTGACTCTGCGCTTATTCGTGTTGTAACTAAAGATTTTTAGTGTTACAAAGAACTTCTTGTGCTGAGTTACACTAAATGGAAGAACTCGCCGAGTTAACATTTTCGAAAACTTCAGAGAAATATGCCGTCGATTACAATTAAATGTCAGTAATTTAGTCGGTGTTTGCACCAATGGCGCACCTTAATCGAGAGGTAAAAAAGAAGGATTCATTGCTTTATTAAAAAAGGAAAAGCTTAAAAAAATTTATATCATTTCACTGTATATTGAGCGAAATCTTTACTCACAAATAATCATTTTGCAAGACACTCTGGATAGAACTATTTCGATTGTCAACTATATTCGCATAAATGCAATGCGTCATCGTAAATTTTGTCAGATGTTAAATTTAGATGAGAAAGCATACAGTGTTGGTCTACCATACTTGTGCAAGGTTCGCTGCCTATTAACAAGACAGGTTTTTGATAAAAGTGTTAACTTTACAACGAGAAATTTTAAACTTTCATCAAAAACAGGGTAAATTATGAGGTCTGTCAGATCAAGCATTTTGCAGAAACGTTGCATTTTTGTCTGATATTATGACAAAATTTAAATAACTGCCTGCAAGATAAAACAAAGCATATATATATAAACTCTTTTGCAAAGAAATCAAAGCACCATGAAGGAAGTGGTTGTTTTTGATGAAACTGAATATGTGTATAGCTCATACACAGATAATAAAATGATCAAAAAATCAAGGTCATAGTAT